AACACATATTTCTATTGTTCTAAAATCAATAGAATGAATACAATCAAACGTTCTTAGCTCTTTTGAAAGAAGTCCATTTCATGAATTCTCATATTTGCATCTAATGTAAGGAACATTAAAGCTAAAACATCAACATGAATGAGCATAAAAGTAAAAGAACATGCACGGTAGCACTAATTGCACAAATAATGAAATTTTAAAACTAAAACATTTCATTAACTGATGTACTTGCTCCTGTCAATAAGTGAAACCCATCTAAAGGAATTCCTAACCCACTCATATGGCCTCGTGCAAAAGTTTCCATGGATACCTCAATACAAGATGTTTTTTAATTTTTTCTTTTCTTCGAGAAACAAACATTTATCTGATGCTGCCACTGATAGCAAATTTCCTACACATGTCTCCACGAGTACGATGCCATAGTAATACAATTTCGATATACTTGATAACTAATGTACTTGATCCTATGGCTTACAATCTTTGGTGTATGGTGTATGGCCTTTTGGGGATTGAGTGGGTGATGGCTGGGTCGGTTGGTATGGAAATTTGGAATTGGGGTGGTTTATATGTAAAAGACAATATTGTTAATTTAATTCCATTGTCTGTTTTTTGGGTTCTTTGGAAAGAAAGAAATTTTAGAGTTTTTGATAATGTCGAGAGTAGTGTGTACAAAATAAAAATGGCAATATTGTTAACTTAATTCCATTGACTGTTTTTTGGGGTTTTTAGAAATAAAGAAATTTTAAAACTTTCGATGATGTCGAGAGTAGTGTATACAAAATAAATAATAGATAGATTCACTATTTTAAATTTATTTTGTTAAGTCATGATATTATTAGTAACGAAAATTTTAAAAATGTCATAAATACTCTAATACTATTGTAAATTCTTTGTACATGGGTAGTACCCCCTTTTGGTACCATGTTAATATAGACAGCATACTTTTTATTTCAAAAAGAAAACTAATGTACTTGATCCTGTCAATCAGTGAAACCCATCTAGATGAGTTCCTAACCTACTCATATGGCCTCGTGCAAAATTTTCCATGGACACCTCAATAAAAGACATTTTTTAGTTCTTTCTTTTTTTAGAGAAACAGACATTTATCTAATGCTGATGCCAATCATTGATAGCAAATTTCCCACGCCTGCCTATTCATGTACGATGCCATTGTAATACATTTCGATATACTAACACTAACATACTTGATCCTGTCAATCAGTGAAATCCTTTCTACAGGTGTTCTCACCCTATTTACGACCTTGTCCAAAAGTTTCCATGATATATCAATACAAGACATTTTTTTAATTCTTTCTTTTCTAGAGAAACAGAAATTTGTCTAATTCTGATACAAATTTTTTACACATGCCTACGTGTGTAGGGTGCTATTGTAGCACAGATTTAATATACAGTAAAAAAACAGATAGAAATTAGAAAGTAAACATTACTTGGCTACCAAAGAAATTTCGTTGCACAGTACAATCTAGGCCCCCAATTAGTTCCTGTCCTCCTGTTTTCTGTCCTGAATAATAAAACATACCATTTCAACTTCCAATAATATTTTAGCCATATTTCTCAAATAACATGGATTAGAACTCTTAAAGAATCTCAATAAAACAATGCCAAAATACAATTATGAGGTGCGGAAGTATAAAAGCTCACCAACAGCATTATTTGCCAAGAAGATAAGACCTGCACAGGTCCCCCAAACTGGCTTCCCCGTTTTAACAAACTCGCGCAGAGCAGGGAACTGCAAGAAATGGAAACCAAAAACTTTGAGAAAAAAATTACCTTAAGCTCTGGTTTACCCAGGTATCATAGCAGACAAATGCAACAAAGGGAGTTCCCACTGTTCTTTCTTATGTTTCTAGTTAGTGAATTAAATTAACAGCTTGTCAAATGGTTCCTCACATAATGTACCCAAAACAGTTTTTATACCTTATTAACCTTTGGACTATCTACTGGAACCAGGGTTGCATTTGGTTTGGTTGTCATCTAATTCCTAAACAATTCTGCATTGTAATTCTCGTATTAGTGTTAATATGTATAATTAGGACATAATCCTTTTAGTGTGTGAGTTATCACCAACTCACCTTAAATTTTCTTGATGTTGGGAATTATTTCTACATTTTAAGGTGCGGCTTGAATTCCCACCACAAAGGAATTCAAAATGAAAGTGAATATAACTACTTTACGTTTTATAGTATATACAAAGACTAATATGAGAAATATAAATCGAATTAGTAATTAAATGGGAATTGAATCAAAAGCAGCATAAGAAAACACTGTTTCCCCACACAAGAGCGTCTACCATAGCTCCTATCCTGGGTTCAATCTCACTTGCAACCAAAATCAGCAGGCAAAAGAATTCTTCAGTTTTTATTTATCATTTTCTACATTTCCTTCTCCATAATCTTCATTTGCACACGAAAGACAGAAATCATTTAAGCATTTCCATAATTCCACCAAAAGAAAAAGAAAGAGAAAGAGAAAGAGACCACTTCACTGAACCAGACAATAAATTAATAAGAACTCGGGTTCATAAAACACAATAAAACCAGACCCAAAAAAAAAAGGAAAATGAACCTGTTCATCAAACAGAAAACAATCACCATCCAAATAGACAAACCAAACTTTAACTATAAATCCAGAAATAGGACTAGAATAAAACCTCCGACAGATATATCTATATATATATATATATTTGTCAAATTGAGTTTACTATTAAAAACAGATGAAAAGGAAAAAGAAAATAAACAGAACCAGATTATGGTACTGAGCGAGCTTGGCCATGGTGGTGCTCTCTCCTCCGGGGAATGATTAAAGAGCTCACACTATCCAGCTGCTCTGCTTTCCTTATTTCCACTCCCTTCACTCCCAGCCTCCTCAACACTGCTCGCATGAACAAAACACAAAAAAAAACAGAGATCTAGTAAAAGAGAGAGCGACAGAGACAAAATTCGAGCATGTCAACTTACACAACCAACACAAGTACATATACATATACGTGTACATGAACACAAAAACATGTAGACGTTCTTGAATTAATTCATATACACACACACACACACACACACATAGAGAGAGAGAGAGAGAGAGAGTGCGTGCCTGCTATGTGTTCGTTGAAAGATCCCTGTAAAGCCAAGACACCGACCGCCATAGGTAACGCGACAAGAGCGAGCGAGAGAGGGAATGAGAGTGGTGAGATAGTGGAAGACTTGAGCCTCTGGTTTATTGATGGCGCTGGTGGACTCGGCAGTCCCTTCTCGATTTTCGCTCTCCTTTTGGTGGATACTTGGGATAATATGTCGCACCCGAATCCGAACTCTATGAATCGGGTATGATTTTTTGTTTTTTTGTTTGTTTTTTTTTTAATTACGGGTTTAATTTGAATTAAGTTCGGATTAGCCAAAAAAATAATTTTATAATGACGGACTGAAGGTTTATTTATAATAAAGTCATTTTTTTACATAAATTTATATTTATTTGGAATATAAATTATTGTTTTAAATATGAAATATTTGTGACAATCCTTTTGTTGAAAATTTAATTATTAAGTTTATAAAATTATTACAACTAATAATGTTTTCCATGCAATTGTACAAATTTTAACAGAAATTATGTAATTTTTTTCTTTACCTATGTTTTATTTTCTGTAAAGTTTTAAAATTATAATTATTCAATGTTAAATTAATAAACTTAATAATATAAAATAACTTTATTTTATTTGAATAACGCAAATAACAATATCATATATTAGGGAATAAGAATAAGCTTTCGTTATTATTTTTAAATTTTTCTAATTTATAATTTTAAAAAATAATTATATTTTTAAATTTTTTATATCATTAAAATAACATAAAGTACTATAATTATGTAGCACCCGGAAAGGAGGAGAAAAAAAAAAAAAGGTCACGTCAGCAGCCACGTCAGCAGTCCCGGCCAACCGGGGCCTGCCACATGGCAAGACCGCGTCACTCCGAAAGGAGCCACGTTGGCAATCCGCGTGGGTGCGATCCGACGGCCCAGATCAATCGCACGGACGGCCCAGATTCAATAAAAAACGAACGGCCCAGATTAAAACGAAATGAACGGCTGAGATCAAAAGGCAAGGGGTTATAAATAGAACCCCCACACCAGACCACAAACCCTAGCCGCCCGCCGCTCGCCGGAGAAGACGAACCAGAGGCCGACCGCCGCCACCCGCCGCCGCACCGGGGAAATTTCCGACCGCCGATCGAGGTAAATTTCATACCCCCGACTCGTTTTTCCCCGCTGATTCCTCCTATGGCCAAATCGAGGCCGAAATCCCGGCCAAACGGCCGGAATACGCGGCCGAAGCCCAGCGGCGCCGCCGCGCCCCCTCTCGGTTTTTGCCTCCGACGAGGCCCTTCCCGGCCTCCGTTCGATGCAATTTTTATATCACCGTGATCACCATTCTTTTCTCTACAGGTTGACCGGAGCCGAATCACCAAAACACGAACCTCGCCGGAGAGCCGCCGCACCCGAGAGCGCCGCCGCCGGTAAGCTCCGTTTTTCCGTGATTTTTTGGCCCCCCGAGGGCCCTAGGGTTGTTTTCTGACAAGGACCAATGCGAGTGTGGCCGAAGTTGCGATTTGGGCCTAAAGAGGCCCTGGGCCTAATTTGGGTTTTTTTTGGAACACGTGCAGGTACTGTTAGTGTGTTTCAGTTCCCCGGAAAAAATTCAGGGGAAAATTAGGGACGGCCTGCAGGCGCACTGTGAATCGTATTCAGATCCCGAAAATAAGTAAGGACCCCTCACCCTATTTCCTATCACGGTATTAAAGTTCAAAATGATAAAACGGTATTTCTTGAATTAACGAATGTGTGAAATTGCTTAAGGTGGCTAATGGAGCCCGAGTCTAGTGTGATTGGTGATTTACTGTTATTTGGCCTGTTTACAGCTTTAAATGCAAAATGAGGTTTGATGTGTTCATTTTACAGATTTGTGTGCATATACTACGTTTTTATTAATCATGGGTTGAATGACTGAAAAACTGATACTATATGTTGTCTGTTTGGCATGAATTACTGTTTTGCTTGTTTGTATGTGAATTGATGATGCTGACTGAGGAAAAGGAAAATGAAAGATTGTGTAGACTGATAATTGTATTATGGGGGTCAGCCTGACTAGATATCCTGGGAGATGGTGGACGGACCGGGTCCGTAGGGAACCCTACCGGGATTGGGGTCTCACATGCCGGACGGGGTATGGAGATCTTATGGTTTTGGCGCCCATACCGGACGGGGTATGGGGACGGCCCGTTTCACCATCATACCGGACGGGGTATTGAGGTTTATGGTTTTGGCGCCCATACCGGACGGGGTATTGAGGTTTATGGTTTTGGCGCCCATACCGGACGGGGTATGGGGACGGCCCGTTTCACCCTCATACCGGACGGGGTATTGAGGTTCATGGTTTTGGCGCCTATACCGGACGGGGTATGGGGACGGCCCTGGAAACTGATTATGAATGTTAAAGGTTAACGGGTAGCGGAACCTCTATGGACCCCCACGGATACTAGTAAGCTGGTAAATGAGAAAAAGATATGTTGTACAATGATTGAATTACAAGAGGCGTGATAAGTGTTATGTTTTACAGCTTATATTATTCAATGATTATGATAATGTTATTGTTTTTCTTATATTGTTTTCATAAATTCCACCGAGGTAAGTGGATGGTAAAGGTTTTATCATAAATAAAAGGATTTGTTGTAAATTATACTTCATTGGTCTTTTGTGTTTTTCTACCCACCTTTACCTCCGTGACGGTGAGATATCGTGATGTTCTTACTGGACTAGTGTAGCTCACTCCTTATTTAACCATTTCAAATCAGGAAGACATGGTTCCCGAGCCCGTTCCGCAGGAGGACGACGAAGGGGATGCCTAAAGACTCTGTAGTCATACCCATAGTTTTATTTTCGACTTTCTCTCTTAGTTAGTTTAATCTTTTATATTTTAAATACGTTTTGGGTTTTTCGTGTAAGGGATGTTAACTGAAATTTTGATCTCGCTTCCGCATTTGATATATTTAAATACTCATTTCATTTTAATATTTCCAGGGTCGTTACAAATTAATTATAAGGCGCTGCCCAAAGCATTATTGACAACTAAAGTTTTTAAGATTAAATTATTCAATTTCAAAAATATAAACTTAAATTATTTATTGATATCATACCACAAGTACAACCATATTTAATATGCACAAGTTGTAAAATATAAAATTATATTAATACAAAAATTTTAAACTGATTAATGCTCTAATATTAACTTTTAATATTTTTTAGAGAGTCTAAAATTCATTTTTCAAATAGTTCAGTACGGTGGCAAGCTCCATATACGAACATAACTTAGAGGATGGATATGGGGTTATTTTCATGATTAGACAAGAAATGTAATAACGGCTTTAACTGGAAGGATATCAGTGTGTCAATCACCGTGTCTAGCCAAGTTGTTGGAGTGTAGAAACACGTTATAGTATATATCAACAAATCTCAACGAACCTAGCATACTGGAGATGGAAACCCAAAATGTAACGACTGCAATCACAGCCCGATACTCAGATAACTCTGAATTTCAGTTTATCATTGAAAATTGTAGACAGATGTTAGTTTTAAGACCGGACATTTATGTTTACTAAATTAGAAGACAAACAAACACGGCGGTGCCTCTGTGAAAGCCCAAAGTTAAAGAAAATAAAAATATTGAATTATAGTAACTATAAGCAGAAACAATTTAGAATCTATAATTTACATTATTTGCGCAATAAATTATGATGTTCAATAGGATTATGAGAATGTCAATTTTACAATAGTTCATAATAATAGAATAAATAGTTAAAACAAACTAAATAAAAATTTTACGGAGTTAACTTATGCTGAGCAACTCTAATGGAGTCCGGAAAGTAACATTTACTCGCAAACTTCATGTTGTTTATGACCTATATCTTGATTTTCTTAATTTGAAATAGTTAAATAGGGGAATGAGTTACATTTGTCCAGTAAGAACATCACACTTATCACAGATATAGAGAACTGAAGGTTGATAAAAATCATAAAACAATCAATGTAAAGGTCCGAAACTTTAAAAGGAAATAAATTATAAATTGAATACGGAAGTGAAATAATAGAGTTAGAATTTAAATTCCTTACTAAATAATTTAGAATACCCAATAGGGTTACGAGAATAATATTTTTAAAATAATAAGCAAAAAATCAAGAAATAAATAAAAAGTAAACGATTAGGTGTCCTATGACGACCTTCATTAGCTTTTGAAGGGAGTCCGGGTGGTGACTTATTCACAACTCCTTTATTGATCGAGATTTTGATCTTACTCTGAAATGGTTAATGAAATGGTGAACTACACTAATCTAGTAAAAATATTACACTACTCACTGATATAAAAATGAAAGTTAGTAAAATAATTAATAGAATTCTTAAATTAAGTAAATTAATTTATCATAAATAAAATCATTTATTGCATACTTACCGTAGCGAGATTTTTAAAACCAATCTATAAAGATAATAACACAAACAATATCATAATCTCATATTTAATTAACCAGAACAATAATTTTCCCTTTTTATCTGTTTATTGGTATCCCGTGGGGGTCCATAGGGATGTTCTCATTACGCGTGAACTCTTATTTAACATTGTCCAGTATGAGGGTGAAATGGGTTGTCCTCATACCCTGTCTGGTATGAGCACCAAAAATACCAATTTTCGATACTCCGTCCGGCATGAGACAACGTTTACGGTAGAGTTTTCTATATACCCAATCCGTCCACCATATTCCAAGATATCTAATAAGGTTACCATTCATTCATTTACTTAACCAATCAATTTTCCGTTTACATTTAATTTCTAATTTCACAATTTGACTGTAAATAACGCAAAACAAGCAATACATGCATCAAGAAATACAACTGAATTATTTTACCAACTCCAATATATTATTATACATTTAAAACTGCAAAATCAATCAATTAGCTAAAATATGACAAACAGTAATAAATAACTGGTTATTGCTCCATTAATAATCTGTAATTAATTATCAAAATTTTTTAAATCTCGCAAAATGTCTTATTTATAATTAGACTTCAATTTTATAACAGGTAATAAGGTGATAGATTCTTATTTGAATCAGTGTTTGAAACACTAAATTTTATCCTGCGCTTACTGGCAGTCCCCAGATTTTCTGAATTTTCTTTTAAAAATTAAAACACGCTTCAAGTACCTAGAAATACCCCAAACAACCCAAAATCGGTGTTAA